GCATAGATGAGACTGATGAATGTCAGAGGGATGGAGGAGGGCGGGTGGGTGGAGGGGGAGAGAGTAACCAAAGAATTTATGTGCATATATGCACAACCCAAGGACACAGACAATGGTGGGGAGAGGCACTGGGGAGGGGGAAGGAACGGGGTGGAACGGGTCATTGGGGAGAAAAAGGGACATCTGTAATATTTTAAACAATAATAAAATTTAAAAAAACAAAAAAAAACAACAACCTGGGCCAGATGAGTGCCAGGCGGCTATAAGTGGGATGAGACTGGAGGCATCCTGTGGGGACTGAGGAGCACCGTTGGGTTGGGAGGTGACTGAGTGGCCTCCAGCTCCATCACTGCCAGGGTGAGGGTTTGGGTTCAACCCTAACTGCCAGGGTTCAGATCCAGGCTCTGTCACTTACTATCTCTGGCAGGTTATTGCACCTCCTGTGCCTTGGTTTCCTCATCTGTAAAATGGTACAGATGATAGTACTTTCTTATGGGGCATTATAAGGACTAATTGTTATATTTAAAGCTCCTAGAACAATACCTGGTAGGAGAAAGTGCTTATTAACTGAGGACTGAAATCAGCCTCTAAGCTGTTATTCCAGGATTTGGGGGCTCTACTTCCTCCCAGCAGGTTCCTGACCCTGTTCCTCTGGTTCCCAGAGATCAAGCAGATGCAGCCTCTGCCTTCAAGGAGCTCATCGTTTAGAGAGAGCTGGGCTCACATGCACATAGTTTCAGGATAAGTGCCGTGGCTGTGGTGAGCTCGGGGTGCTGTGTTAGAGTGGGGGTCGGGGAGGCAGGCTTCCTGGTAGAGAAGCCACCCAAGCTGAGCTTTACCGAAGCACTGGGCACTGGGCAGGGTGGGAAGGAAGTGGGGGTGCTAGGGTGTTCCAGACAGAAGGGGCAGCTGAATGGGAAGCCACCAGTCTAACGTCGCCAGAGTGTGACAGTCCAGGCCGGGCCACGAGCTGGAGGGAGGCCGTGCCCCGCAGTGCTGTGTGCCGGGGCTTGTCCTCCTGCCAGTGGGTGTCATGGAAGGTTCTGTTTGTTTAACTTTTTATCCGCAGGAAGTTGCCAGAATAGCACAGTTTCCTGTCCAGCTTCCCCGGATGGTAATATATAGTTATCTTGTCTTATCCAAACCAGAAAATTGGCATCGCTACATTACTGGACTACAGCGTGTATTCGGTTTTCACGTTTTTTAAAAACCTGCACTCGTTTGTGTGTGCGCACGTGCACACCCCGAAGGGTTTTGAGCAGGGGAGGGACACTGACTCACGTGTGGACAGATGTCCTTGACCACCAACCAAATGGCAGCAGATAAGAGGGGCCTCCCTGGAGGCCGTTGGCGAGAGATGATGAGGGCCTGAGAGATAGCCGTGGTTGTGGAGACACTGGGAGGAGCTGTGGAGGGCAGGAAAGTTTCAGAGGTAAAGGCGGAAGGAGTTGGAGATTGGCTGGACAGGATGGCTGTTGCAGCTATGGCTAGAGTTGGGGGTTCATGGCGGAGGAGCGGGGTTAGGGAGAAGCTGCGGAGTTGGAGGATCAGCCAGCCCAGCTGGGGTGGGCACCAGGGAGGACTTTATGGACATGGAGGCATCTGAGCTGGGTTTTAAAGGATGCATAGGAGTTGGCTAGGGGTGTGTCGGGGGGCATTCTAGGTAGAGGGCCTAGGATTAGGAAAGGCATGGAAGTCATAAGCAGCTGTGGGTGTTGGACATCCAGGTAGCACTGCCCAGAAGGTAAGAGATATGAATCTGAAATATTGGGGAGGGGGTGAGCCTGGTGGGAGGAACAGAGCTGTGAGTCATCAACATGACTCATGAGATCACGAAATGCAAGAGCTCATCTGGGGAGAGTGTAGATTGGGGAGAGCAGGAGTATTGTCCCTTAAACGGACGCTGGGGTGCGTTGGCCTCAAGACCTGGGCGGAGGAAAAGGAGCCCCTAGCAGACGGAGCAGGACTGATCAGAGAGGTGGGTGTGAGGAGGACCTGGCAGGTGCCAGGAAAGGCGAGTGAAGCACTGTCCCTCTGCTGGACTCAGCAGTGAGGTGGTCCCTGGGTTGGGGAGGACCCTTGGCAAGCACCTGCAGTGGAGTGGGAGTGGGGTTGCCGTGAGTTGAAGAGTGGAGTGGGAGGCGAGGATATGGAGACAGTGTAGACAACTCTTCCACAAAATGTGACCAAGGAAGGGAGGAGAGGTTGTGCAACAGCCAGAAGGGAGGGGACTTGTTTTGAGCCTGATGACAGGCTGAGAGGTCCTGGGGTGGGGGCTGATTGCTTAATAGGGGACAGTAAGGGTGATGGTGATGCGTGTGGGCTCTGGAGCCAGGCTGCTGGGTTTGAATCTCAGCTCCCCCATGAACCAGCTGTGTGACCTTGGGCAAGTCTCTCGAGCTTCTCTGTGCCTCTGTTTCCTCCTCTGCAAAATGGGACCGAGAGCAGTGCCTGTCTCAGGGTTGTGCGGGAGGTAAGGGTTAAGGAAGGTACTGTGTGTAAAGCGATCATGACACATGGTTACCACTCAGCAACTGTTTATATTGGTACTGATTGTTAACGTCGTATCAGTTTTTCTTGTTTACGTGTTTAACACTTGCTCTTACCTGTAAAAAGTCTGAGTTGGATGCGATGGTGTTCATTCATCTGTTTCTCTTACCACCATTTATGAAGATGGTGCACATAGGACTGAATGGAGGGGCTTCTGGGGGGCATGAAAGGAGAGTGGCCTGGGTTCAGATCCTGCCTCAGCTCTTTGCCACCTCACGACGGAGGCTCCCGGAGCTTCAGCTCCTCCTCGGTGAAATGGGGAGAGAATGACACCTACCTCGCTGTACTGTTCAAAGATTCAATAAGACCCCTAGGCCGAGTGCCTGGCCCAGGGTGTGGTGCTACCTTGTGTGTATAATCGCCGGTATTATTTTGCCTTTTCAGTCTCTTCTCCACAGGCTGAGTTTGATGGTTAAACAGGTTTTTTCCTTGAACTTGAGGGGTCCCTTGTAGTATTGCAGCCCAAGCCACGTGTGGAAAAGGGCTGGTGGCCTCCATGCGGCCCCTTGGCCATCGAGGGCACTCTGCAAGCTCTGCGTCCAGTGGGACGTGGGCGTGGAGGGTAGGGGGGCTGCATGGCCTGGTTCAGACAGTCTTTGGAGACCCTGAGACAGGTTACTGCCCCCGGTGACCCCCTTCTGCACCCGTGAAATGGGATGAGTGAGGGCGAGGCCATGCGGGGGGAGGCTGATGGCCCCTGGCCCCTGCCGACTAACTGATGTACTGTTCTCTCCCCCAGAGACTGATGGAGAGGCAGAGACGGAAGGCGGACATCGAGAAGGGGCTGCAGTTCATTCAGTGAGTGGGCACTGGGGCGGGCTGGGCGCGTGGGTCCTCCAGAGGGGACGCCTGGAGCAGCAGGCCCTCTCCAGCTCCCCGCTTGCTCGCTGCACCTTTGCTGGTCGGGCTCTGTGTGTGGGGGGGAGTGGGGAGGCGGGATGTGCTAGGAAGGGCTGGCATGGCCGGGGCTTGGGGGCTGGATCTGTGAGCCCCCCCGTGAGCCATGAACCCCACGCGCACACGCGCGCCTGACCGGCTTACCCTCGGTCTTGTCCGGCATACCATTTCACCCTTGCTGTCCACATGTGCTCGTTAGTTCTCCTGCTTCCTGGTCACATCGTATGATAAATCAATGGTTCCCACTTAATGAGCACATCGCTCAGGCTCCGTGCTGGGCCCGTCACATCCATCACTGTTCTTCACAACAGCCCAGGAAAGTCGTCGGTCTTTTCGCAGATGAGAAAGCCGAGGTTCAGAGATAAGGAACTTGTTTAAGGTCGCACGGGATTCTGACCCCGATCTGGCTGAATCCCAAACCATATTTCTTTCCAGTAACTACATGCCATGTTTTGTGTGTTTGTTTCTTTGTTAGGTATATCTTTATTGATTTCAGAGAGAGGAAAGGAGAAGGAGAGAGAGAGAGAGAAACATCAATGATGAGAGAGTCATTGATCGAGCCCACAACCTGGGCACGTGCCCTGACTGGGAATTGAACCCCGATCGCCTGGATCCTAGGTCAACGCTCAACGGCTGAGCCATGCCTGGCCGGGCTGTTTTGTTTTGTTTTTACACAAAAAATATTTGTACTACTTTTCCTCTTTTATCTCTTAAATAGATTCTCAGAGAGCTGTTAACACGATGTAAATGAAGTGTTAGCTTCTGGGTCCTTCACTTGCCCGGGTCCCCTCTGCCGCCCTGAAAGGTCCTCAGTAGTTCTGTGATCTTTTTTTTTAATCTTCACCCAAGAATATTTTTTCCATTGCTTTTCAGAGAGTGGAAAGGAGACAGAGAGAGAAACATCGATGTGAGAGAGACACATTGATTGGTTGCCTCCCGCATGCGCCCCAACCGGGGCCAGGGATCAAGCCTGCAACCGAGGCATGTGCCCTTGGTCAGAATCGAACCCAAGACCCTTCAGTCCGCAGGCCGACCCTCTAACCACTGAGCCAAACCAGCCAGGGCTGTGTTATTTTTCTTAAACAGGACTCCCCACAAAACCGGGACTTGCATCTACATCCCCTCATATGAATTCCCTAATTTCGTCGCTCACTAGACCTGTGTAACGTGACCTGCCTCTTCACCACCAACTAGGTCCCCCTTCTCATGCGGGGCCATGCGGCTCTCACGGAGCTGCGTTCGTGGTCACCCCACACCCTCCCGCAGCGGCAGTGCGGTCAGTTCCGCTCGGGCCTGGCCACCAGGGCCTGGCCGCTCCTCCCTTCACTGGGGCCAGTCTTTTTCCGTTTGGGGAGGCCTTTGATTTGGGGAAAGTGCGCCTGTTTTCTTCGGAGGCCAGTCTGGTGAGCGAGGGAAACCTGCAGAATACCGTCTTCCATGAGAACTCTGGCCTTGAGTTGCTGACGTCTGTGGGGTCGGAGCTCCGAGCCCTCATCTCGGTTCCCCTGCGTCCTGGGTGGTCTTGGGCCTGTGAAACAGAGGTAATGGCACGTCCCTCACAGGGTCGCTGCGCCTGCGGTGTTAGCTCCGTGCGCTGTTTCTCCTTTCCGGGGGAGATGTAAGAAGGTGTAGCAGTGGGACAGCCTCCAGGGACCCATGCGTTGGCCTCCCAAGGGACCACTTTGCAGGATAACTCAGTGGGACTCACTCTTTGTAAAACCCATGTTTTCTCACACACACACTTCATGTGCTTAGCAAACGTGTGGTGGGCACAGGGCGCTGTAGGAGCCATGAAGTGACCTGGACGGGGCGCTGGTGCTGGCTTGCAGAGGGCCTCTTACACCAGAGGAGAGGCTGGAGGTGGAGACCAGTTAGGGGGTGATGGCAGCCTGGGCTGGGGCCGAATGGGGAAGGAGGGACGGGCCCTGGTCTCTGACTGTGGGAAGCAAGTGAGAGGGTGGGGTTGGGAGCCCCGCTGTCACCATCAGGGACAACTCTTCACCCCCTGGGGACCTCTGACATCTCCTCTCACCACTCTCACTCACCGGCTTAGGCGGCTCTTTCTTGCCCAGGTGTGGGTGACGTGCTCGGCGATGGAAAGAGCTCAGCCCTGTTCTCTGGCCCTGGCTGTGACGTTGCCCTGCTGTGTGACCTTGGGCAAGTCACTGCCTCTTTTTGAGCGTCTGTTTTCTCCTCTGTGACATGAGGGACCAGGAGGCAAACCCCAGTTTCCCTTGCAGCTCAGCCATTCAGCCTCACGGATGTGCCCCAGTTCTCCTGGGCTGACACTTTCTACCACACTTAGCTGGCCGTTTTGGTCACAGGAGAGCCAAGGGTACCCCAAGACCCCACCTACTTTTCCAAATCTGGCATGAGGGGTAGACAGGCTCTGAGTATGCCTGGCATTGGCTCGGGTCGTGTGTGTTTTGTGGGAAGGGACGGGAGAGGGGGACCTGAGGTGGACTTTTGGTGACACCCAGGGGCCTGCAGCTGCAGGTTTGGTTGGGCGGGACACAGTCATTCCCAGAGGATGGCTGGCCTGAGCTGGAGCTGGTCTGCTCTATCTCAGCGTCTGCACCTAGGCGAGCCTGGCTGTGGCCCCCAGATCTCCGTGCGGCTGGGACCCGCGGTCTCACGCACACCTCATTTTCCTCTGCTTCTCCCGCAGGTCGACTCTACCCCTAAAGCAAGAAGAATATGAGGTGAGTGTCGGCTGCCGGGCTGGGGAAGGCGAAGGGCAGGGGTGTCCAAAAGAGGAGGGTGTGGAGCCGGGGGCAGGGGACTAGGGGCCGGGGCCGGGGCTGGGCCGGAGGAAGAAAGCCCCCTGAGCCCCTCTACCCGCCCCCGGGCAGGCCTTTCTGCTCAAGCTGGTGCAGAACCTGTTTGCTGAGGGCAATGACCTGTTCCGGGAGGACTGCAAGCAGGCCCTGGCGCAGTACATGGAGGGGCTGAATGTGGCCGACTACGCCGCCTCCGACCAGGTGGCCCTGCCCCGGGAGCTGCTGTGCAAGCTGCATGTCAACAGGGCCGCCTGCTACTTCACCATGGTGAGCCTGGTGCCCTCCCTTTCTCCCCTACCCCACCCTGATCACTGATCACTGTGTCCCCAGATGCCCAGACAAGCCAGGCCCGTGCCACGGGGAGCCTCTGCAAGGCCGTCTCCTCCACCTCCTGCTGTCTGAACCTCACCATATATTCCCTTGGCTCTCAGCCTAGCTGCATAACACATTTACCTGGAAAGCTTTTAAAGTATTAATACGTGGCCTGGCCTGCGTGGTTCAGCAGTTGAGCATCGACCTAGGATCCAGGAGATCATGGTTCGATTCCCGGTCAGGGCACATGCCTGGGTTGGGGGCCTGATCCCCAGTAGGGAGCGTGTAGGAGGCAGCCGATCAACGACTCTCTCATCATTGATGTTTCTCTCTCTCTCTCCCCGTCTCCCTTCCTCTATCTGAAATCAATAAAGATATATATTTTTTAAAAAGTACTAATACATAGTAAACAAAATTGAAAAATGACTCTGGTGCCCAGCTGTGGCTGAGTCGCTCAGTTGGTTAGAGCATTGTCCCAACACACCAAGGTTGCAGGTTTGGTCCCTGGTCAGGACACATACAAGAATCAGCGAATGAACGCATAAATAAGTGGGACAACAAATTGACATTTCTTACCCTCCTTTTCTTTCTCTAAAATCAGTCAATCAATAAAAAGTGTTTTAGATAAACATTTTTATTTATTTATTTAATCGTCACCTGAGGATATTTTTTCCATTGGTTTTTTAGAGTGGAGGGGAGGGAGGAAGGTGAGAGAGAGAGAGAGACATTGATGTGACAGAGACACAAGGATTGGCTGCCTCCCACCCAAGCCCTGACCGGGGCCGGGGGTCGAGCTTGCAACTGAGGTACGTGCTCTTGACCAGGAATCGAACCTGGGGCCCTTTGGTCCAAGGGCCAACACTAACCACTGAGCCAGACTGGCCACGGCAAGAAACATTTTTTAAAAATGGCCCTCGTGCCTAAGCCCTACCCCAGATGGATTATGTTAGAACCTCGGGGTGGCCTGGCGTTGGCGGGAGTCTGTGGACATCAGGGCTGAGAACCTCTCTCCCCATCACGCTGCCTCTTTTTGCAAACCTCTGGCCTCTCCCGCTCCTCCCTCCTGGGCCCCTCGCCCCCGTCCTCCCCTCACTTCTCTCTCCGCACCTCCAGCCTCCTCCTTGTCCCCTGCGCACTCGCTGACTCGGGCCCTCACCAGATCCTGCGGGAGGCCGTCCGTGGGCTCCTAGGGCTCCACAGGGGACTGTTCTGGGTGAACTGGTCTACCAGGCGCCTGCTCACGCTCCTCTGTACACTGGCTGCCTTCATGATTTTACTTCCTCTTAAAGGCGCCTTTATCATTCAAGACCTTTTATTGATTCTTAGAGGGAGAAACAAGAGAGGCAGGGAGAGGGGGAGAGAGAGAGAGGGAAACATGGATGTGAGAATGGAGCATCGGTCGGCTGCCTCCTACACGCCCCCTACCAGGGACCGAGCCCGCAACCTGGGCGTGTGCCCTGGCTGGAACCGAACCAGCAGCCTGTTGGTGCATGGGAGGATGCCCGGTCAGCTGAGCCACACCGGCCAGGGCTCAGTCCGTGGTGTTCTGAACCAACGGCAGATGCGGAATAGATGTGCCTGAGCGACTGGGCTCATCACAGTAGCATGTGAAGGCCCTTCCCCTCCGGCGTCCTGACAGTGCCAGTTAGGAGCCCCTGCAGCGAGGCACACGGATGCCCTTGACCAGAGTGTGAACACCAGAGCTGTTTCCTGGAGCTCTGCCGCTTCCCCGAGCCGGGTCCTCGGGGTCCTCCATCTCTGCAGGGAAGGGAGAACGGTCCTCAGTCGGGGGAGGGTGGGGCAAAAGACCTGGGGGGGAGGGGAGGAGACTGACGCAGAGCACCCGCTCCCCTCCGGCAGGGCCTGTATGAAAAGGCGCTGGAGGACAGCGAGAAGGCGCTGAGCCTGGACAGCGAGAACATCCGGGCGCTGTTCCGCAAGGCGCGGGCCCTCAACGAGCTGGGGCGCCACAAGGAGGCCTACGAGTGCAGCAGCCGCTGCTCGCTTGCCCTGCCCCATGTGAGTATGGCTCTGTGCCCCTCTGGCCACACCAGAGGCCAGGTCCCAAGGCCCCGAGGCTGGGTGCCAGCCCTCTGCACTGGCCCTCACTCACACCAAGCCGCCCCATCTTTCTGAGCCTGTTTTTCCTGTTAATGGAGCTGCAGATGCTGCTGTTAACACTGAGCTCTATTGTGTGCGAGGCATTGCTAAAGATACATTGTATTAACTCATGTGCAACAAACAACCCTTTGAGGTAGATACAATTATCTCCATCTCAGAGATGACAGAGAAAGGAACTTCCCCAACTCACTGCTAGGGGGTGGCAGAGCTAAAATTAGAACCCAGGCAATCTGATTCTAGAATCCGTGATCCTAAGCTGTGAGACGTTCTGAGTACAGGGTTGCGGTGTGACTAAAAGGGGTACCACATGTGTGGGGTCCTAATGTCCAGGCTGGGGAAGAGACAACGGGAAATGACCGATAGAGAGCTTTGCTTGCCCCAGCCCACGCATGCCTGGGCACATGCCCGCCCCCCATTTACCCTACGTTTGGCAAGTGTTTGCTGAGTGCCCACACAGTACCCAGGTCTGTGCCTTTCAGGGACCCACAGTCTACTAGGAGATGAATGGAAACATCCCTGGGGTCTAGGCCTGGCCCCACCACTGACCCCTGGCATGACCTTAGCAAAGCGCTTCCCCTCTCTGCATATCAGCTCCATGTCTATAAAGTGCCCATCCTACTTTATCCCTGAAATAACGGGTGTGAGAGGGCTTGAGGATAGGTAAATGTTTCCTGGGAAGGGCTGAGAGGACTCAGGAGTGGTCAGGATCCTGGAGGACTCCCTGAAGGAGGCGGGGCTTGAGTGGGTCTGGAAGAAGCAAGAAGGATTTGGGCGAGCAGAGCAGAGAGGAAGTCACACGCCCGATGGTCTGGGATATCGGTGCTTTGGGTCCTAATCTTGGATCTGCCACCTATAAGCTATGTGACCTTAGACACATGGCTTAGCCCTTCTGAGTTTGGTTTACACCCCTGTAAAATGGGGGTGATGGCCCAGCCGGCATGGCTCGGCACTTGAGCATCGGCCTAGGATCCAGGAGATCACGGTTCGATTCCCGGTCAGGGCACATGCCCGGGTTGCGGGCTCCATCCTCAGTCCAGTTGGGGGCGTGCAGGAGGCAGCCGGTTCTCTCTCTTCCTCTCTCTGAAATCAATAAAAATATATTTTTAAAAATGGGGGTGATGATAGGGCTGTGCTGAGGATGGAATCAGAAAATCACACAAGGCGGTTGGCTCAATAGCCGGACACGGTAAGTGTTCCGAAAACAGTCACTGTTAGTCCACTTTTTGTGTATTATTCTTGCTCCCCCACTTCAGGGTAGTTCACAACGAGAACCTTTCTCATGGCAGTTGTCCCCAGTCCGCACAGCATTTGCCAGCGTTCACAGCAGGCTCACGTCCAGCCGTCGTGGCTGCCCACTCCTGGGAGGGCGGTGGCTTTACTCCACTGTACAGCCCAGCGAGGCTGGCAGCTCACCTGAGGAGGGTACCCAGATGAGGGCTGCGGACTCTGAGTTGGAGAATTCCCCATTTTCCAGCCTTTGTGGGCCAATCCTGATTGAACCGTGCTTCGTGCGGGGCACCAGGACCAGAAATTACCAAGAGCCTGGCCCTGGGCTGCAGGAGCTCGTCAGTGAGGCGGGAGGTGGACCCGTGCACAGGGTATCACAGCATCCCCATGGCCCCTCGTGCCCAGGCCACAGTCACCGTTCCTTTGCTTGCTGATTGGTCTCCCCCACTCGACTGGAACCTCCGTGAGGCCTGGGCCCTGTCTGCCCTGTGACTGGTGTTCCAGCTCCCAGCCTGTGCCTGGCACATGGCACACGTATAGTAAAACAGACTTGGAGGGAGGGAGGAGTGCCGGGTACTGTTGCTGAGCACTAACTGTGGGCAAGGCATGCTCTAAACCTCACCGGTCCTCACCGCTCTGGGCCTGTGCGTGATCCATGGCTTACAAAGAATTCCAGGACCTTGTTTGGTGAAACAAGCAAGTTGTAGAACAATTGGTATAATATGACCCCACTTGTGTAAGAAAAGAGAAAATCCCACAGAACAACACCAGGCATTTTTTTAAAAAACATTTTTTATTGATTTTTAGAGAGAGAGAGAGGAAGCGAGAGGGAGAGAGAAAGAGAGACAATGTGAGAGCGAAACGTCGATTGGCTGACTCCTCCCCCCCCCATTGGGGATCAAGCCTGCAGCCCGGGCACATGCCCTGACTGGAAACTGAACCAGCCACCTTTTGGTGCACAGGACAGCGACCAACCAACTGAGCCACACTGGCCCGGGCAAAGCTAAGCGTTCTTTATAGGTCCACATGCATGTGTGTAAATTCCTAGAAAACATCTGTAGGGAACACGTCAGGCCAACAAGCTGTGCTCCCTCCGGGGAGGAGCCCAGGGTGAGGGTGGGTATCCGGGGCAGCGCTTGCTCTCTCACATTTCAGCCTCCACAGTGATACTATTACTTGCTGACTTACGAAAATTTAAAAATATAGTATTAAAATAAACAAAGATTGTTCCTTTCCCTCTCTTACAACAAAAGGAAAAACAGAAGCAAGGGTTTCTGGACCCAGCCCCACCACTCCAGCTGTGTGACTTGGGCAGCCAGCGTCCCATCCCGGGGGCTCGCTTCCCTGCCTGTAACATGAGGTGGCAGTGGGCTCCCCAGAAGGGCTGCACAGGGTGCCTGCAGCACGGCTTGGTGAGCCAGGCCGACTAACCTGCCCCGTGTCTTGTCTTCCCAGGATGAAAGCGTGACTCAGCTTGGTCAGGAGCTGGCTCAGAAGCTTGGGCTGCGAGTTCGGAAGGCGTATAAGAGGCCCCAGGTAGGTGGGCTCTGGGTGCTGGGGGGTCGGCAGGGGTGGAGATGGGGAGATCTGAAGAGGGGAACCAGCGCCTTTGGGGGAAGCAGGTCAGGCCAGGGCAGAAGGGAGTAACAGCGGGTGATCTTCCCTCTCTTTGGCTGAGAGCCCTGGACCGACTCTCAGAACCTTTAGGGAAAGGAAAGAACAGCCAGAGCCTCCACTCACCTTAGACACCAGCTGTTAAAACCCGTTACCTCCCCTGCCTTGGACAACTTCACACCCGGAGGTGGCCTCAGTTGACAGTGGCGTCCTTCAGCCTTATGTCCTCAAATAACACCCGTGTGGCGCATATTTGAAATGTCGGTATCTGTTTGGTTTGTCCAAACCCATGTATGTTCACTTGGCATCTGCCGTGTGCCGGGAAGCTACACGTAGGAAGGGTATGACTCGAGTCTCTGCTATGACCTTGAGCGAGTCAGTTCTCTCTCTACCTTACTTGCTGCACCTAGAACATGGGACAGTTATGCCCACCTCCGAGGGCTCATGGGGGATCAGAATGAGAGTGAGATGGCACCTGGTCCCATGCCTGGCACACTGTAGGGGCATGTGCTTGGAAGTCCTCTGTTCCGGTCATGGTTGCAGGAAGAAGGCACCCTAATATGACCCAGAGAGAGTGCAGTTGACTCCCGGCAGGCCAGGGGCAGGAAGCCTTGGAGGGCACCACAGACCCCGACCGCCTGTGTTGGGCCCCTCCGCTGCCCTGGTTCATGGGACCCTGAGCATCTTTCCAGGATCTTCATCTCTTCCCACCTCTCTCCAATCTCTGGCAGGAATTGGAAACCTTTTCTCTGCTCAGTAACGGCACTGCAGCTGGTGTGGCAGATCAGGTAGGATGGGGCCAGGACCCAAGCCTCCCTCCCCACCTCTAGGTTCATCCATCAAGAGAGCTTTGAATCCACTCTCTGGGGTATAAGTGACCTCAGGCAGCAGGTGCAGGGGCATCAGACCGAAGGGTCGGGCTCCGTCTACCCTTGTCCCCACTGCTACGAGCCAGGCACCTGCTCTGGGAAGAGGGGTGCCTGACAGCCTGGGCCCGAGTCAGGCTCACGAGGACAGCTCTGGGATGTACAGCTCTCTACCTCCCAGGAGGTGCCTCCTGTGATCACAGGGGCGAAGTGTGGGGACAGGCTGTGGCTGCCGGTGGTGGGAGTGGTCATTGCAGGGGAACCGTCAGGGCTAGCCTGTGGGACCTTGAGAAAGGAAACAAAGACAGCAGGAAGGATGGAAATAAGGAAGTAGGAAGAAAGGTGAGTGGGGCCAGGCCACTCAGGCCTTGTCCTGCGGGTGGTGGTCAGCCCAGCACATGCACGACCCCCACCACTCACCGCACAGGAATGGCCTGGACTTGGAGGCATTCTGGGAGATGAAGAACAGGCGATAAGATACTGGTGGAGCCCATGTCCTGCCTCCGTGTTAGACATAAGGGGAGACTGAGGCACAGACTGGGCAGGGGACTGGGCCACAGTCACACAGCAAAGCAGCAGCAGGCCTCCCTCCAGGGCATTACAGCACTTCCATTCATTCACTCAGCACGTCTGGGACCCCCTTCCCAGCCCCGGGCTGGCTGCTGTGCCAGGGCTGAGTTACGCATGTCTCTGCCCTTAGGGACCTCTCAGGCTGCAGGGAGGCAGGTGTGATCTCATCTGGTTTGTAATCAGAAATTATTAGCCTCACACATACTGAGTGTACAAAAAATAAATAAATGAATGTTTAGGCCATAGACTGGGTGATTTGTAAACAACCATTGTCTCTCATCCTGGAGACTGGGATGTGCAAGATCAAGGCGCTGGCAGGTTCGGTGTCTGGTGGGGAATCACCTCCGGGTTTATAGATGGCCCCTTCTAGTTGTAACTTCAGAGGGCAGAAAGGGTAAGATCTCTTTGGGGTCTCTAATCCCATTCAGGAGGACTCCACTCTCGTGACCTAATCACCTCCCAAAGGCCTCATCCAATTGCATCGCTTTGGGGGTTAGAATTTCAACATATAAATTTGGGGTGGATAATCATTCAGACCATAGCAGTGAATGAATGAAGAATGAAAGGTCCCAAATAATTTCACAACCATGCCTTGAAGGAGGCTCTATTTCCCCCTATGGCAAAGGAAACAGGCACAGAGAAGTTAGGTGCCTTTTCTGAGTTTATCCAGCATGTGACAGGCACTGAGCTTGGGGCTGGATACATGGTGAACCGAATAAGTATGGTCCCTGCCCTCAGAGAGATCCCAGCCCAGGGCAGGTGGACACTAGCCTGATAGTTTCTGGTTATAAACCATGATGAGAGCCATAAAGACAGAGGGTGGGGAGGTATGGGCATTGGAAAGGGAAGGCCTGATTTAGACTGGGCATCAGTGACCTTTAAACTGAGGCCTAAAGGTTAAGGTGTAGGCAGGGCAGGATGTAAGGGTAAAATAGCATTCCAGACAGAGGGGCAGGCACGTGCAAAGGCCCTGAGGCTGGAAGGAGCTCAGAATGTGGAAGGGACCTAGCGGAGGGGAGGCAGGGCCCCAGTGGGGCTGGAACAGTAGATAGAAGCGAGACTACCTAGTGCCTGGTGAGGAGCTGTCTTCTCATAAGAATGTTGGGAAGGCATTGATTCTGTTAATTCAGAAGATAATTATTGAATGCTGTGTACCCAACATATAATTGATCTAGGCTCTGGGGATCAAGCAGAGAGAAACAGACAAAGAGCCCCACCCTCATAGAACTTACAGTTTAATTAGAGGAAATAAACAAAAAGTGATAAACAAAAGGTAATAAATAAGTGATCAGTGTTATGTAGAAGGGAGCTGGGGAGTGCTGGAGCTACTGGGAGGGAGGGTGCAGATTTAAAGAGTGAGCAGGGAAGGCCTCAGTGAGAAGGAGACAGTTGAGCAAAGACCTAAAGGAGATGAGGGATAAGCCTTGATGAGTTTTGGGGGACCAGGCAGAGGGAACAGCCAGTGCAAAGGCCCTGAGGCAGGTGTGCCCAATGTCTGAGAACAGCCAGAAGGCCAGGCAGGCTGGAGGGGATTGTGCAAGGTTCCTCCTTCGTTGTACCAGAGGTGATGGAGAGACAGGGAGTTATTCAGACAGATCTTATCCAGAGTTCCCAGATCTCAGGGACTCCTACTGGAGCCCCAGACTCATTCCTGGAGCCCCAGAGACTGGAGCCTTTTTGTTTTCATGGATAGTGGCATGATTGTGCATTAGAGGGTAACTCTGGGATGACCCTGGCTGGGTACGTGATGGGCTGTCCCTGTTTCTTCTTTCTTTTCCTGCAGTGACTGCCCTGGTTCAGGCCACATCCCACTTTTCCAGATCATGGCTGGCCTTCCTTTCTTGTCCCCCAACACTGTCCAGACTCCCCTCCCTGTTCTCATAGTGCTGCTGCACAGTGAACTCCAAAGCCAGCCCAGTGGGTCTCTCCTCACTTAGAAACCCTCAGAGGTTATTGAAGTATCTGTTTAAAAGTAACGTGATTAATCAGCATCCGCATACTTTAGCCCAGCATTCGGGCCCGGCCACCGCCTGGCTCCAGCCTCCCACCCCACTCTCCCCTCCTTCTGCATGCGCATTGGGTGACATGCGCATGTATGTCCTCAGCTTCGAGAGAAGCTCATTTGAGAACAGGGGCTGTGGTCTCCTCTATTCTGTGCCTCCACATGGCACCACTTTGGAGCCAGACGGGCCTGGCCTCTGCTCACTGGTGGCATGACCTAGAGGAAATTATGTCATCTCTCTGAGCCTTGGGTGCCCTCTCTAAAATGGAGACAGTTGTGCTCAGTTCCTAGGTGGTTGCATGGATGAACTGAGCGCAACCCTGGGAAGCTAGCTTGTGGCGCCCGAGGCAGAGTTGGTGCTCACTCCACATCCCATGCAGCCCAGCTCAGTGGGGCCAGGGATGGGGTGGCCTGCCTCCAGGGTCCTCGCAGGCCAGTGAGCGAGTACACGACATAGCACCTGGTCATAGCAAGCAGAGCTGCATTGGGTGGACACAGCTGGTGCTCTGGATATTCGTTGAATGACTGAATGACCGTGGCCAAAGGACCACGGAAAATGCGGGTAGAATCCCCAGCTATAAGAGGGCCAGCCCTTCATGTCCGCTGAGTCTGCAGCCAGGGGACGACAAATGGTGCCATGCATAGCATTGGGCACCCCAGCCCCTCGCAAACCATTCACCCCTTGTGCAACCTTGCTGGGGCCCCCACCACGTGCACAATGATCAGGGCTGGTCACAGGGGTGGGGATCTGTGAGAAATCAAAGCAGAGTGGACTCCATGGTGGAGACTAGGTCAGAGCCTGCTTTAGTGCACCAGTGTGGTGCTGCATGCATGCACACACACACACACACACACAGCCAGATCCACACACCATGACACACACACTACACACACAATACACACAGCCAGATCCACACACAACACACACACTACACACACAATACACATAGCCAGGTCCACACACAACACACACACAACCAGATCCACACACCATGACACATAACAGCACACACAGCCAGACCCACACACCACACTACACATATACACACACACAGCCAGATTCACTCACCACATCCCCCCCCCACACAGCCAGATCCACTCACCATTACACATAACACCACACACACAGCGCACACAGCCAGACCCACACACCATACTACACATATACACACACACACAGCCCCAGATTTACACACCACATCCCCCCCCACAGCCAGATCCAGACACACAACACACACAGCCAGATCCACACTCTGGTGCCTTCCTGACC